TTAAACTAAATGTAGTACCTGAAGTGGAGTCTGATTAAACAAACAGTGACTTTCTGTAATTTGGATATTATGCTTCTGTTGATGTGGTCTAAAATTGTATTTATTTTTATACAAAAATCTGAAACATAAACAAAAATCTAATACCACCCATATAAACAACCATCCCATTCAATAATCATGAAGAGCCGTATAGAAAAGTTCTATTTTGACTAAAATACTACTAAATAGGGCATACCTGGATGTCCAAGGGTAAACTATTCCACAGTTGTGGGACATACACAGAAAATCATTCATGTTCTTGCAAACTAAACAGATGGAACAGTTCTACCTGAAGTAAAGCAGTTTTGCAATATCTAGGTGCCAAGCCATAGAAGATCTTTCTAAGTTAAAACCAGCACTTCCATTTGTATTTGGAGGCCTAGGCAACTCATACAATGTTAGATGGCGCTGGTGACTCACTTATTAGGAAGCAAGTTCTGCATTCTGCACCAATGGCAGTTTCCAATCATTCTTCAAAGGCAGCTCCAAGTAGAGCATATGGCAGTAGTTAATTTGAGAGGTTATGAGAGCATGGGTAACTGCTGCCAGGGCCGCTTGTTCCAGGAGGAAATGCAATAAGCAAACTAGCCAAAGCTGGGCAAAGGCCCCAGTAACCATGGTCTCCACTCTGCCTATAGTTGTGGGTCTAGAAGGATCCCCAAGTCATGGATCAGCTCTTTCAGGGCGAGGGGTTCCCATGATAGTTATCACGGGAGGCAAAGCACTAGTTGGTTTCCGGACAAAACATATATATTTTACAGGGATTCAGTCTCAACTTGTTTCTTCTCATCTACATCCTGCGGACACCAGGTCAGGGCTTCTGCATCCCTAGCTCTGGCTGAGGTAGAGGTATATAACTGGATAATAGGTACTGATGATGCCTTACCCTAAATTGATAGATGACTCAACCAAGTGCTTTATGTAGATGTTGAATAGCAGAGGGGAGGATTGACAAAATCTGCAGCACTCTGTGAACAAAACAGTGCCTCTTCCTCCCAATCCATGAAGGTAATTCAGGAGGAGAACATGGTCAAAGATATTGAAAGCAAGCATGTCATTTAAAAGGTTCAGGAGGAGTGGACTCCCCCATCCAAGTCTTGATGAAGGCCTGTGCCATCGATGGTCATTTCCAACTATGCCCAGGCCTGAACTCTGACTGAAAGGATCTAGATAAATCACTCTAAGGCATGCTGCAGTTGCAGTCTTGCCACTTAACAACCTTCCTAAAATGGGGACGTTGGAAACCAGGTGAAAGTTTCTAAATTGGCTAGGTCCAAGGAGGTTTCTGCAGGAAGAGGTATACCACTATCTCTTGCAAGGCAGGAGGAATAGCTCCCTTTCTCAAAGAGACGCTGACCACCTCCTGAATACAGCCCCTCAGACACAAACCCATGCTTCCACAAAGAGCCAGGTAGGACACAGATATAATCTACGTGCAGCAGAACTCATACCATGGATCATCCTATCCACTTTCTCAGAATCAAGAAACTGAAATGAGTCTGAGATAACATTGCAAGACACTATCCCGGGTGCCTCCTCTGAAACTATCCATGCAAATTCCAGATGAAAGCAAATGTAAGAGGTTTCATCAACATAATGCCACCCCAAAATTTCACTGCGGCCCATAGGATGATCATCTTTCTCTCTCCACCCTCCCCTTCACACACCCACACCCACACCCACCAAATCCTGTGAGAATGCCTTTGGCAAGGAAGGAAATACGGCTACTCATGATCAGGATCTGATTACCAGAGCTGCTGCTTGTATTAGTCTAATGTATCAGCTACTAAAATACAATTTAAAGTTGTGAATTATGCAGATAACCTCTTAGAATTTCACTTTTTCCCTGAAATTGCACATACAAAGAGCTTGAGAATTAGAATTTTTCTATATACACTCAATGTACTGAGCTCAGCAAGACTTAATACTGTGCTTTTTTCTTCAACTGTGCTTTCATCTCTGTACAGAAGAGAACCATTTTTTAAAAAACAGGATATTGTTTTGAATTGTGATGTTATCTTTTTAAAGGTGCTGATCCTGAAAGCCAAAAATGAAACAGCTACCAGCAGAAACTGTTCGACTTCTTTCTAGTTCGCAGGTCATCGTGTCAGTTGTCAGTGTCATTAAAGAACTGGTAGAGAATTCTTTGGATGGTAATGCAACCAGTGTTGATGTTAAGTTGGTAAGTTCTTTTAGACTAAAGTTGGAGTGAAAATATGGGTGAGAAGACCATATTTCCTTATGAAGTAAAACTGATCATTTTAAAGCTTTAATATCAGGGAGTTACCTATTTAATGAAAATGGTAGAAAACAGCCTTTGTTCAGTGTGTTTCTATATGATTAATGCAGAAACATGTTAATCTCTTAGGGCTTGTTTCACTTAAATACCGCTTACTTGAAGCCTTTTTTTGGATGGATGGATGGATGGAAGGAAGGAAGGAAGGAAGGAAGGAAGGAAGGAAGGAAGGAAGGAAGGAAGGAAGGAAGGAAGGAAGGAAGGAAGGACGATTTCAAGTGATTACCAGTATATACATTTTGCATTTTAGGGAGATTTCTACAACATTCATTTCCCACAACTTGACCTAAAAAAAGATTCAAAAATCTAATGTGACGGCAGTCCTTTTCTTTAAAAACATTGCATACAGTGATTGAACTATGAGAAGTGTAATTTGAATCTATATCAAAGAAGTCATTTGCAGAATGGTTTATGATTATTATTTTGATATGTAGCTCACTTTCCCTCCAGAAGAATAGTACAGCATTGAATAGCATTCTCTCTCCAGTTTTCCTCTCACAACAACAACTTGGTGAAGTAGGTCGCTTGAGAGGTCATGACAGGTCCAGTGGAGTTTTATAGCAGAAGTTGGATTTGAAGCCATGCTTGCTCAATCCTAGTCCAATACCTCAAGCCATACTGGATCTATGTCCTAGATTCCATATTTCTGAAAGATATATTATGAATGGGGTGTGTCTGTCTATCTATGTAGTAATTTATTAGGCAATTATTTCCACAAAATTTAAGATTTGTTAAGATTTAGTCCAAATATAGGTCATGGGAGTATGTCCTCCCAAAAAGGGCAACAAAGGAAATGCTTATGTATTAATTTATAAATATAACCAATCCATCTTCTCAACCTACTTGTGTGTATCTGGTAAATAGACATTAGGTGTTTACACATGAGACTGATTTGCTAGTTTTCTGTGGTTTAAACACTGATGTAGAAAACAAGTAGAAGTAAGAAAAGATGGATTTTGGGCTTCAAGGTGACAAACAAATAGAAGGCTTACTGTATTACTTTTGTTGTTGTTGTTCCTTTTGAACAATGTGGACAATCAGGTTTAACTTTTATAGGATATTTAGGAGCCAGTAATTCAAACCAAAAAGAATTTCTGAAAGTTTTATAACCTTAAAACCTTTAAGTAGGTATTATGTGCTGATAGTTTCTACTTTTGCTTGCAGCCTTAGATGAAGAGTGCAGTAGGAGCTTTTAATTGATTTAGACATAGTCTGTATGTCAACCAAAAATGGAATTGCATCTGGGATTCAAATGAACTTCAATAAACATAAAATGGTTTATGTATGGTTATAATATATACAAACTAAAATGTTCTATGGTCAGGTATTTGAATAAAGTAGAGGTGTGCAGTATTTGCAACTGAAGTGGTCAAACGTGATTTTGATCACACACAGGCACCCTTACTACAGTATATTTTTCATAACTCCTTAAAGGAGACACGCCTTTCCCTGGGCTCCATGATAACTGCATAGGCCCTCAAAATATTTATTTGAATTAAGGAGGTGGCAATAGTGCAGCAACATATGATCACACCATGTTGCCACCATCATGATGACTCTTGACAAATACAGTGAGGGTGTCCATGAACCCATGCTTTGCCCACTTTGGATCCAAATACAGTATTGCTCTAAAGCAGTGTTTCTCAATCTTGGGAACTTTAAGATGTGTGGATTTCAACTCCCAGAATTCCTTAGCCAGCCATGCTAATTAATTAATTAATTATGCTCTAGAATAAAGCATTTGTACCATGCCAGTTCAGTAATTCTGTATCATGCAAAGAATTTATTGAATATTCTGTTCTCAAGAATTCTGTCCAAAATAAAAAAGATTAGGGCATGATCCTGCGTACATGCAGGGTTCTTCTGTCTAAGAGAGTACTGGTTCAAGCCATTTGCTATTTGAATTGAAGCCGAATGGCACTCCTTCCACTGAACCATTAGTTCCTCCTGAAGTAGTTTCCACAAACCAGTCTGGCACTATTTTTTACTGGTGTTTATCACCAATGCAAATTCATTATGCCCTCAGAAGTAAGCTGCTTATTTTTGCTGTACAGCATGTTAATCCTAATGGGGGGTGGGGTGGGAATGGGGAGATGGTTGATTATTCTTTTCTAGAAATAGCCCTTCTGTCTCATGAATTTTGTGCTCCAGTATTTTGAATAAGGTCTTGTAGAAGGGGAAGAGAGTAGAAAGCTGTTCTTTGAAGACAGAAGGTAAAGTGAGTTAGAACAGAATGTTAAGAACGTTTTTCAGTTGTTTCAAGTAATTCTAATTTAGAAGTTCTGCAAATTTAGTAGATTTATGTAAAGTGGTCCTTATCATAAAGTTCACGGTTTATCATTTTATTTTATTTATTTCATTTTGTATTTAGATGATATAAACCACATAGTCATAGGCTGCATTTAGAGGTGGTATTAAATCATGCTTTAGAATTATGAACATAAGCCAGTACATGAACTTCAGGAACTGTTCTGGAAGCCCTTTAGAATATATATAGTGTTCTGGACCCCTGTGTCTACTCATATATGTACTGAACACAATGTTCTGTGTTGCTTGAGTTTAATACATTCCTTTTATGTAGGAGAACTATGGTTTTGAAAAGATTGAAGTGCGAGATAATGGTGATGGGATAAAGGCAGTTGATGTTCCTGTTATGGCAATGAAGCACTACACATCAAAAATAAGCTCTTCTGAGGACCTTGAAAGCTTGAGAACATATGGTTTCCGTGGTGAAGCTCTGGGCTCCATTTGTAGCATATCACAGGTAAAAAGCTAACATCATTACAAACTTTTGTGTGTGTACCTACAATTCTGCATAAGCGAAACATTAACCCTTTTGATTTTAGGATATCCAAAATACAGATAGCCTGATGGAGAGAGTGTATCTGCTGGGGTTTAGAGGCACAGTCCCACTTCTTCCTAACTAGGGTATCTGCAGAGAGTGTCTGCAGGAGGGTTCAAAAAAGTCAAGATAGTGGTCATAGCCCTACTTCTTTGTATGTGCGTGCAAGGTTGATGCATGTATGAAAAGAGTAGCTTCAGGCACGCAATTACAACTGCCATCTTGACTTTCTTGAACTCCTGTTATTGATGCCATTCCCTTAACATTTCTTTTTGGGACGCAAATTTATGAAGAGGATACAGGTTTTGCCCAGTGCTTAAATAGAAAACCTGAGGGGAAGGTATTGCTGAATTCTGACTGCAAAATGTTGAGTTGTCTCCCCCCAAAACACTTTGTTTTCATTGTACTGGTTCACATATCTTACAGGCTTTATACTTTAGGAAGATTGATCAATAGGGAATTTTTTTAAAAAAAAGTTTTGAAAGCATTAAAGAAAACTCCCATAGAAACTATAAAAAGAATAGTTTCTTATTGGGGCACTTGATCAGGCCGTGTTGTAGAGATGCTAATTGAGAGAATATGAAAAAACTCTGTTTTTTTTATAAAGAACACACAGCTTATCTCCCATGTTCTTTTCAGTTGCCTTCAGAGTAGGCTGTCTGAAATTCAACCAGACACAAAATCCCAATCCACACAAATGTACTGGGCTCTCTCTTGTTCCTTTTTATTTTGGGGGGGGGGATATCATCTTTTTCCTACCACTCCGTGTGTTCAAGCAAGAAACTGGGGGGAGAGAGTAGTTTGGTAGACTAGGAACGAATGTTTGCCAAAATGAAGGCAGTTTGCACCCAGCTGCTGCTTGAGTCCTTTTGAAATGAGGTGAAAAAATCAGATAAGAAAAAAAGCTGCTCCTGCTCAGGCCAGCTATGGAAAAAGCCCTTGGCTGCATTTCCATCTTAAAAACCTCAGCCTAGAACAGAAAGGAACAATCTTTGCCAAGCAAAAGAAAAAAGTATTTGAAAGGCCGGTGGGACAAAATGGACAAAACCAGCAGCAAACAAGCCAAACAAATAACACATGAAGAGGCCAGGCCAATAATGTGGCTTAGTAGCAACGGCAACATGAACTACATCACCAATGCATGTGATTGTGAGCAAAGTGCATTGTGCCAGTTTAACAAGCTAGTTCAAATCAACATAAAATCTTTTATTTTTCCTTCCACTCTTTAGACTCCATGAACAATAGGATAGATTAGCATCAACAGAGTCCAGTAAGCACCAAATGCTTAGCAAGCTAAACATAACACCGAAAGTTGGGTTTTGTTTCTTTAAATACACTCAGGCTCTGGCTGAGCCAAGTACTCAGCCAGTCAACCAAGCCAAGATAGAGAATTTTTTGAAAATACACTCTGTTGTTAGTTTGTTGACCTTAGGTGTATATGCACAGGCTGTGAGTGCTGTTTTGTCTTTTGAATGTTAAGTTTTCAGAAGAGTTTTGAGAGTTGCAATTCCCTTGCAAAGGCATCCTGAAATTTGAGATGAACAAAACACAGTACAATGCACAAGAGTCCAGTGCATAACTAAGCATGACAAGCCAAACAAAATATATTTTTTTCATTTTTAATCAGCATTACCACATGGCAACATGCTTGTATATGAACTGAAGCACAGTACAGACAATTTCAAATGGAAGAGGAATATTAAAAGATCCTTATTCAGAGGCGCGTAACTCTATATTTTTTGTAAGATAAATAATCATTACTGACTCTCCATAAGCTGGTATTCAGAAGCATGTTACTTCTGATCCTGGAAGAGTCATAAAACAATTAGATTTTGCATGTGATTTGGAGAGGCACTTCACCTATGGCAATGTCTTGAAGCATCACGGTATTCATTTTCTTCTGAAGAACCGGTGAGGCTGCTTTAAAGCCCTTTTCAGGTTGTCTATGTGTGTGGAAGACGTATCTGTCAAGAATATCTTCTCTTAATGATTTGCACAGTCCTAGGAGCTATCACGATTAGTTATCATGATATTGTGAGCCACCCATCGTTGTTGAGAGTTGAGTGGCATATAAGTTTAATAAATCATCATCATCACTTGTGAGAATTACCATAGGGAACAGAAGGTACACACATTCCTTCGTAATTATTTATTTGACGTTAGATTCTTTATTGTTAGGTTTCTATTACAACAAGGACAGCTGCTGATGATTTTAGCACCCAGTACAATTTTGATAGAAGCGGTCATATAATTTCTCAGAAGCCGTCTCATCTTGGAACAGGTATGGCTTTTATAGTAGTTTTATGTAACTTCCTGCTTTTTCATTACTAGTTCAGGAGCATATAAGTTCCTGTGATTTTTCTGCTGCAGATAACAGGAATACAGTTGAATAATATTTTAAAATTTGAACTGATACCTTAAATTGTGATTTCCAAAATAACAAGACTGGATGAGTCAGGCATGAAAAATCAAAATACATGTTGAATTGAGATTTTAGTCATGTATTGCACCTTCAATATGTATAACTCGTTACAAAATATAAAATAGGTTCTCGACATGAGGAATTCTGCAATGAAAAATTCAGCACAAGGAAAAATACAGCCAGAGGACCAAGTGGGTCCTCAAGGTTGTGTTAAACAGGAAAGTGATTTCTGATTGTTTCAGTCATATATAGGCTCAGTTACAGTGGGGCAAAAAAGTATTTAGTCAGCCACCAGTTGTGCAAGTTCTCCAAATTAACTTACGCAGATGTTCTTTTGATTCTACTAACATATGTTACAGTACTTTCTTGCATTTGAAATTAACTTACGCAGATGTTCTTTTGATTCTACTAACATATGTTACAGTACTTTCTTGCATTTGTAGCTATATTAAGATCATAGTGAATATATATACAGTGGGGCAAAAAAGTATTTAGTCAGCCACCAGTTGTGCAAGTTCTCCAAATTAACTTACGCAGATGTTCTTTTGATTCTACTAACATATGTTACAGTACTTTCTTGCATTTGTAGCTATATTAAGATCATAGTGAATATATATACAGTGGGGCAAAAAAGTATTTAGTCAGCCACCAGTTGTGCAAGTTCTCCAAATTAACTTACGCAGATGTTCTTTTGATTCTACTAACATATGTTACAGTACTTTCTTGCATTTGTAGCTATATTAAGATCATAGTGAATATATATACAGTGGGGCAAAAAAGTATTTAGTCAGCCACCAGTTGTGCAAGTTCTCCAAATTAACTTACGCAGATGTTCTTTTGATTCTACTAACATATGTTACAGTACTTTCTTGCATTTGTAGCTATATTAAGATCATAGTGAATATATATACAGTGGGGCAAAAAAGTATTTAGTCAGCCACCAGTTGTGCAAGTTCTCCTCTCATCTTTTTAAGTGGGAGAACTTGCACAATTGGTGGCTGACTAAATACTTTTTTGCCCCACTGTATATATATTCACTATGATCTTAATATAGCTACAAATGCAAGAAAGTACTGTAACATATGTTAGTAGAATCAAAAGAACATCTGCGTAAGTTAATTTTCTTTGCTTTTCTTCTCCCTTTCTCCTCTTGGTAGGGACAACTGTAACAGTTCAGAAGCTGTTCAAGAATCTGCCTGTAAGGAAACAGTTTTATTCTACAGATAAGAAATGTAAGGAAGAAATTAAAAAAATTCAGAAGCTGTTGATGGCATATGGCATTATAAAACCAGAAGTGAGGATAATGTTTACACATAACAAGGTAATAAAATTTATAAAATTGCTGGTTCCCTGTAAGCTTACATTTCTGTGGCTCAAATCCAAAGGAAGTTAGTTATTGAATTAATGGGATATACATTAATTGCAGCCCAACTTTTTTTCACACATCCATTTTGTTTCAGGATTTATAACCATTTTGCCTAATGAAGGGTTCTTGAAACATCAAACTGCCCATTTTTTCTCATAATCAAAATGTCTGCTTTTGCTTTTCAATAAAGGATCCTGCCCTAATGCCTACATGGCTATCTCAAAGGCAAGAGAGACATCTGATGGGCAAATGAAATTTATTAAAATATGTCAGGTTTCTACTTTTGTAAAAATGTTTGTGTGTGTGTGTGTGTGTATTTTAGTTTTTCAAAATTTCAGGTAATATCCTTTAATAAAAAAGAAATATGATCCAGGGAAGGGCATTGATCATGTACATTTACTGAATGCTAAAGCAGTCTTAGGGCTAAATGAATTCAACTCAAATTGTTTAGGAATGTTTGCTGCAATGAAAAATTACCTCCCCCTCCTCCCTGTCAAATTGCTTACTCATTTACCTTAACATTATTTGTTCTTGCTCCAAGTTGGTTTCACGTGGCTCTGTGGCATTGAGATGATACTGCAGAAGAAATAACATCTCTGAACACAGTTAAGAAAACACATATATCACATATTTGTATAAATTGTTTACGACATAACTTTTACTTTTGACTCAAATTAGAGAACATAAGATGCATTCATAGCCTTTAGGGTAAACTGGGCAGAAACTCATATTTCTCGAAAATCAAAGCTAAAACACAAATTACATATATGTATCGTTGGCCACAAGTTTGAAGTTATTAGGAAGTGTGTAACATATGCTACCAGACAATGCTTTGTCATGCATTTTTTTCTTCTTTATTCCGTGAATTTCTTGAGATGGATCCAGAAAACATAATCTTATATTTGTAATAATTTCCTCTCTTTCCACCATTACTTCATTTTTTTTTAACTTGCTTCAGTTAAGGAGGAAATAAAATAGCCGCATGCTGTCTCTTGCCAATACTGTAGGAACAACCCAAGAAGAGTAAGGAGAAGGTAGTTCTACCATAGCAGCAAACATTTACCGTAGAGAATCGTAGAGTCATGGAAATGGAGATATTTTCACAGGGAATGAATAATCAGATCTGAGCAAAAGGTCAAATTATTTTAATTTAGATTCAGTACTAACAAGTTGAAAAGTTGCTGATCTCAGCCTGTTGACTGATTTTTTTTCCTGTTAATATGGTTATTGAAAGCATTGTTTTTGAAACTTTTTAACACAAGAGGTCGCCCATTAGCTGCAGCACTGATTGGAGCAAAACAAAATAAATAGCCAGAATCCATAGGCTTTTTTAATTAACATATTCATTTGATTATGTATAGAGGGAAAGCCTTTGCATTCTGTGGTATTTACTACTATCATTTTGAACAGATACAATAAATTGATCTAAGTAAAAGATACAGGATTGTTTAGTTGTATAAGAGTGCATCTCAACTGTTCTTCGCATTTTATTTTTTTTTTGTCCTGGTACTAATGTTTATATATCCTTTATATATGCTTTCTTCTCCCAAAGTTTGAAGGTCATTATCTTAGCTTTTCATGTTTTCCCCTTACTGTGTGACACATTTTTGTACAATAGTACAAAGATTAGAAATAGCAGACAATCTGGAAATGTTTTTGAAATCGGTAGCTCAAGAGTTTATATTGATATAATGAAAAAAGTCTGTAATTGCAATATATAATGATATGTGCATCTTCTCACATAAATCTCAAAAGTGACTCATACAGAAATCTGTTAGTCTGTTAGAACATCCTCATCCTGAATACATCCTCATCACATAGAAAGAAGTGGAATAGCTGCTTGGGAATATAAGGGAAAAATGTTAGCCAAGATTACAATTGTGTTTCTGAAATCATATTATAATTTAGCTTAAGTATTTACGAGATTCTTTCATCATATGTCTCAGAAAAGCCATCCAACTTTTTATGTGGTATGAACATATACGTTTCTCAATTTCTGATATACAGGCATGTATGTAGCCACAGAACTATCCATGAACAAAATTGAGGCACTAGTATAATATAGGGATGGGGAGTAGCTCACTATTGGCGGATGTACAAAAGTATTTAGGGAAAGTGATGGAATTGTGGCTCATTGAAGATTGTACATATGCAGTACACATGGGTTGCTGACTGATAATAACAGAATGGAAAAATAGGTGAGATAGGGAATGGAGTGGAATGGATTGGAACGGAATGTTGCTGAATTGGATATAGCTGACTAACTGATATAGTCAAAAGAGTATCCCACACTTCATTGTTGCATTGTATGTCATTCTACTACTCTAAAAATGGTTCAGAACTTTCCTCTTGCATATAATGCTTTCATTACATGGTAAGTCATGTGGTAGATTAATTGATTTCTGACATATTAATATATACTTACCCTCTTTTTTTAGAACTTTCATCCTATAGAATTTGATTGATACATTTATAGATCTGTCATTGTTTGAAGAGATGTATATGTGGACTTTACAGTAAATAAAAGAACATGTATTTTCTGCAAACATATTAGGAACTGATTTTGTACTGAGAATAAAAACAGAATGTATGTAAATGTCACTATTCCCTGTGATTGGAAGCTGGAGAAATATGTTGTTACCTTTGGTTGATTCCAAAAGTCACTGGATAGAAGACAATGAAAACTCCAATTCATGTGATATGTCATTGTATATGTATAAGTAAGATTATGATGGAAAATGTGGTAAGAAGACTGAGTTCACTTATCACATTATAAGCCTAACTAGATAAGCTTCAGTTCTCTAGTTCCAGAAACAAAGAGCTGGGTGTGTGTAAAATAACTTCTAAGAATTTAGTGATCTAATTCATTTTCAGATGATGCTTTAATGCAGAATAAAAACAGTCTGAAACAGATGATAGCTAATGATCCTGGACTTCCCTCCAAAACTGTCACTTCTTAGGTAGTGACAGAACCTAAATATTTCAGTTATTTACAGCACTATTTTTAAGTAATACTGTTGGAATAATTAGGCTTTGTGCTATATATGTTATACATAAATTTTTCTTCAGAAGATTAAGGTATTATGTAAACATCAGAGTGAGAAATTGATAACATATTTACTAAGTGATTTGAAAGATGTTTAAGTAAGTGGCAAAGAATTTGAAATTGCTTTTCCCAAACACAAACGGGAGCTCAGACTCCTAGAATATGGTAGGGTTTTTTTTTTTTTTTTACATTCATTAAAAGGCAAGAAATAAACATCTAATATTTTTTTCCTGCCTCCAATAACAGAAACGTAAAAAAACTAAAAAAAAACCCGCCATAACAAATATTGTAAGAAATGACCTCCCTTTGTTCATCTCATTATTCAATTTGCTTTCAAGGAACATGCTGATGAAAGAGGAAAAATGCTTCTTTCTAACATAACCATACTGGCAGGAGTATCAACATGATCACTATTCAAAGAATGTCTTGGTAGAATAAATCTTCACAAAAAGATAACACACAACCTAATCCAAGATGTCAAAATGGCAATAGTTCATCAAAGATTGTCTGTTAAGCAAATCATTATTTAATGCTAATACAAAACAAAACACTCTTAAGAAAAAATATAATTGTCCCAGGTTTTCAGGTTCAACAGTATGAAAATATCAAGTAGATTGCTAAACTTATACTGTCCACAAAATAAATGAATTGGAGAAAAAGGCAATACTGTGTGTTTAAAAATGAAAAAATATAAATTATTTATCCATTTTCTTTTAATATAATGCAGTGAAAAGTCAAATACTTTTAAAGAAAGCCAAGAGCAATCTGTTATGGTTTGTCAATCTAGGGGGAAAAAGCGGGGGGCATAAAAGCACACAGTGCCTTTAATTTCTAGATTCTTTAACAGGTTGTCAGTATGTAATGAATGGGGATGGGGTGAGGAAACAGAATAATGTTCTCTCTGATCAACCAATACCAATCATGATTATTGAATATCCTGGAGTTCTTACCTGTTCTTTATGCATTAGAGCTAAGGAACAATTCCTACCAATTGTGATAGATTACACCACAATTATGTTTTACTTCAATATAATTTAGAGAAGGAGGCTGATCACAGGAATTATATCACATGAATTGGAGTTTTCATTGTCTTCTATTCAGTGACTCACAAGTAGACAATTCCTTTTATTCCTCTTCTCTTGCAATCCCATCTCCCCAGTATGTTCTAAAGGGTCTCCTAGGTTAAATTTGGATATTTGTGAGGCTGCAGGAACTAGAGGGACCCTGTTCTGTCTTTAAGTAGTCCTCCCTTAACAGCCACATTTGGGACCAGCAGCTCTAAGTGATGTGGTCATTAAGCTAGACATCACATGACCGCAACTTGCCATTTTACTGCTGGCTTCTCCATTGACTGCTTGTCAAAAGCTGGCTATGAAGCATGCAAATGGTGATCATGTGACAGTGGGGCATTGTGACTGTTGTAAATGCCCAGTGGTTGCGAAGTGCCCGAATCTTGATCACATGACTGTGGGGATGCTGCGACGGTCATAAGTGTGAGGACCAGTTGTAAAGTTACTTTTCAGTGCCATCATAACTTCAAACAGTCTCTAAGCAGGGTAGTCGCTAAGCAAGGACTACCTGTATAACAACCTTTTCATTGCTGAATGGATATTTAGACAGTCTTGATGACATACCACCATCATCATCATCTGCTAGGAAGCCAGGCTTTCTTCACCTAAATTTTAGATGCATTGGATAGTGGGCATAAAAGAAACTTGGTAAGATGAAAGAGGATAATGTGCTCTAGCACATTCATCTAGTTTTCAATCACACCAAGAATGGTGGTGGCAACAATAATAAAGGAATGAGAGGAAAGAGGATACCTAAAAGAAGTATGAGTGCATCAGTATCTGTAAAGTTTGTATATGATTATATTAAGTTATGTTTTACAGAATTAAACTTTTAATCT